GTTTGAAATTCAAAGGAAGATTTCCTACATGAATCTCACAATCACGGGAGCTGTCTGATGAGGGAATTCTAAATAAGCTCCCAAAATTTCAGTGAGACTAATACAAGGAAATACTCATACTGAGGAGATCAGGGATTGCTGTGGCCCATAGGGCATCGCTGGGCTGACATCCAGACTCAACGCAGACTCCAAGTGGGGCCAAGGAACAGGAAGGTCCCGGAATAAGGTTGACCACTGGCGAGAGTGATGCTCAACTGTGCCCAGAGACTTTGTTAACTCCCAGTCTGACTCACCATATGGCCTCAAAGCTCCAACACATTCCAGGACAAACATAAACCCTGGAATAGGCCAGGTGCGGTGGCTCACGCCTGTAATCCTAGCACTCTGGGAGGGTGAGGCGGGAGGATCTCTCGAGGTCTTGAGTTCGAGAGCAGCCTGAGCAAGAGTGAGACCCTGTCTCTACTAAAACAAAACAAAACAAAACAAACAAACAAAAAATAGAAAGAAATTAGCTGGAAAACTAAAACTATATGGAAAAAATTAGCTGAGCATGGTGGCACATACCGGTAGTCCCAGCTACTTGGGAAGCTGAGGCAGGATTGCTTAAGCCCAGGAGTTTGAGTTTGCTGTGAGCTAGGCTGATGCCACGGCACTCTAGCCTGAGCAACAGAGTGAGACTATGTCTCGAAAAAAAAAAAAAACCTGGAATAAGCTCGGATGCTTAAACAATGTGCTATGTGGTTATTTGTCTTCTTATTCATTAAGGTGCTTCCAGAGATAAAGTCCTAACAGATATGGAAAAAAAATAACTATTTCCCAGTCCAGACACATTGTCTTGAGTTATGATTTAGAAAATTTATTAAAACTCATTAAATTATAATTTTCTCATTTAAAAAATGAAGATAAACAGTTCCTGTTCCATTAGTCAAAAATCAATTACAGAATGCCTAAAAAATATGTATCCAAAGATTGGCAGTAAATAACTACTGTTTAGTAGTGATTTAACAAAGTGGATTTCATGGGGTTTTATGCTGTAAGCAAATGGCTTTCAGTAATTTGAGATGACCAGGGCTAGACACAGTAAGGGAATGAAAAGCCTACTAGTGTGTGGGCTAGAAAATTTCTTTTTCTACATGTGTTAAGCTCTACACTATGCTTTTAATCCATATAGTGAAAGATAAAAGAAATGGCACAATCGGATACCTGAAATTTAAGAGCTGTAGTCCTCTCTTGTTCTGCGAGCAACTGGGCCCTGTCCCTCTCCATCTTCTCAGTCAATTGTTTCACGTGCTCCTGATAACTCTTTTCTTTCCCATCATCTGCATGTTTATCTTTTGTATTTCCTCCAACTGTTTTGCAGTAGCCTTTGCAGATTCAGCTTTTCTACGTTCCACTGAGAAGGAAATGGAAAAAAAATAAAATTTGTATAGGTTTGCCTTGGTGAGCTAATTAGATTTATACAAGATCATGAGAGTAGAGCTCCCATAATGGGATTAGTGTTCTTATGAGAACTTGATGAGACCAGAGCTCGCTCTTTCCACCAGGTGAGGCTACAATGAGAAAGCAACCATCTATCTGTAAACTGGAAAGAGGGCCTCAGGAAGAACTTGACCATGCTGGCAGCCTGATCTCTGACTGCTAACCTACAAACTGTGCGATATAAATTTTAATTGATTTAGATACCTGTTTATGGTATTCTGTTATAGCAGCCCAAACTGGCAAGACTCAGAATTTCCTTCTTCTTTCTTCCGCATTTACTTGTTATTATTGCCATTTGACAGAAGAAATTTCCTGGAAACATTTTTCTTTAGGGGTAACTATAAAATAATTGATGGCATATGCCACTCTCGGAATGACTTCAAGAGCTACGATTAATTTTATGGTTTTTGCTCTAGTTTAATAATCACAGTTTTACTTGGAAAAACATTTTAACTTTTAAGACCTTTTGTGCATATCAAGTCTCTTGGCTTACTCCTTACCTTCAGTCTCCCTTTCCTTGTTTGTGAGAGCCTCTGACTTTAGAATAACATTAATCATAGACTTCTTGGAGCTCAAGTATGTCTGCAGAACCTCTTCAGCCTTAGATTCCAGAGAACAGTTAGCAGCCAGAAATGGCTGTATGCATTTGTTCCTGTTCATGTGTCCACCATCTTTTCCTCTAGGAATTGCTCCTCCTGGCCCTGCTCTGCCTGGTAGTCAAAATTCCCAGCACAGGGGAAGGTACATGCTAAGCTGTGCAATCAGAACACCCCACCTAGCAGGGTCCTTTTTAGGGGGTGATATAGATACTGCGAAGTAGAGATTCCATGTTGGTTTAGATTGAGGACACCAAGTTTGGAGCTCTGGGTGTTGCGGTTCTACATGGGCTGAGCTTGCTGGCAAATGAAGTTGTCATAGAGAAAGCAGATCAAAGAGATGGTGGTGTGATACATTGTTGTGGCTTCTCCTACCACTTTTGAATGAAAATTAGGACCACATTGTGAAGTTCCTCCAAAATTTTTATTGGCGTTGTAATGGATATAGTAGGTCAATATAAATTGATTTATGAATAATTAATATATTTATTTCTTAGCTTCCATTTTTGATTATTGTTTCTTGGTCTATTTATTCTAAACTCTTTTTAGTTTTATTATTTGGTAGTTTTCTAGGTCTCTATTCAATTCAAATTTTATGATCAGTTTACTGATGTATTTAAAAATTTTTAAATTTATATTATAATTGAATATTTCAAGTGCCTTTTGTTGACCAGAGATTGTTATTCTACAACAGAATTCCTCCAACAGGCAGATTCTGTCATAATGTTGAGTTCTATATGCACACAGTGTTTTAAGTGGCTTAATTTGCATAATTTGTGATATCCCATGACCTTTCAATTCATTCTTCTATGTTATTCTATAGCTAGTCCACTCTTCTAGTATACTGGACTTTGTCGATCTGTAGGAATTTGTGGTGGTGAGCTACTTCTATGTATGAAAAGCTTTCAATATTTATTTTTTTTTAAATAATCACTGTGCTGTGTAAATATTTTTATTGATTTCAAATGGCTTTTTAGTTAATTCTCTTGGTAGAATATTGTTCCCTCCTGTTCAATATTTTCAGTAACTTAAGAAATTGCTCTCTCCCTTTGTCTTTTTTTACCTCCTCCCTAATCAGGGAAGTAGCAGAGCCATATGATTTAATTGTATCCTTACTAGAATAGCCCATTTTTCAAGGGTAAATGAAGGAAATGATTAAAGGGAATTTTTGTCAGTGAAGCTGTAAATAAACCAAATACCATTCCCTATAAAAATGACTTCCAGAGAAGTGGGGCACTTTGCTGATTTACAACATATTTCCTTTCCATACATGAGTTAATGCTGTGTTGTTCTCCTGACGCTTGTCTGTCCTAAAGAGAGGTCTTAGCTCTTGCTTTAACAGAGTTGGTATTAAAGAAATATGTGGGAACACTGCTAAGAAAGTCTAACCCAGGCCACCAATACCCACATAGATCAGAAGCACTAGCACCTTTTGCTATCTTTTCTAGAATGTTCTGGAGTCTTTGCCAATAGATGTCCTGTCTATTCAGCTGAAAACATTCAAATAAACAGGCTCAAGGGAGCAGATGATTGTGTGAGGGCTCAAGAACCTCAGCAAGGAGGGCAAGATTATGGACCGGGAAGGTCAAGGAAGGACCTTCATTTGAAAGGCATTTGCTGTTGGCCTTTGGTAGCCTAAAGAAAGATCACTTGTCAAGAACTTTATTTCTTCCTGCTGTACATGAAAAATGCTTTTTGAAATTATGCAGACCCTATAGTAAAAAGATTTCTAATGGGTTTGTGTTTTGCAGACAGGGAAAAATGTTACAATAACAGAGTGAACTCTCCTAATCTGTCATTCCAGATGTTTTCTCTTGAGAGGCCTTCACTGTGTGGTGGTATTATTCTTGATGGAATAGCTGTAGAGTTTGACTCCCTTCCCCTCCTAATAGTCTTAAAAATTAAATTACTTTTTACTTAAATTTCTGAGAAGATTCTGTTATTTGCTATAAAGAACCCTGAATAATATACCTCCTGTAACAATTGTGGTAGGTTAATGTTTTGTGTTAATGAACTATTGTTGATTTTTCCTTCTGTCATCTGTTCCTGTCTAGCAAGATATTTATCCTGAGTGGCTTTGAGGATATAATGTCATATCAGAGGGGCAGAGAGAAAGATGGAATCAAGTTTTAGGTTTTATAAAACTATAGTCATGGTCCTCAGAGAAATGGAAAGGGATTTCTTTTAAGTTTGAGTCAAAGCATTCCTTTCTGTGACGGTGGAAGTTATCCTCTAAACTCCAGAAAGGAGAAAAGACTAAGAAAGGGAGATTAGATGAGAGCGAGATAGGTGGCCTGGGATGGGGCAGTAATTACGTAGAGGGTTTTCGCAGACTGTGAAGATGGGGCCTCCACTCATACATGCATTCTGGTGTATGCACACTGGAGACCACTTCCTCTGCCAGTATCCAGGAGTTTCATCGGAGCCCACAGACCATGCAGCCTCCACCCAAGTGAGAACTGTACACTGTCTGTACCGTGAAGCCAAGTTAAGTATCCCAGATCTCTCTTATTTGCAGCTCCATGTGATCAAAAAACCACTCGACAGGAGTGATGTTCAACTGTGCCTCATGGTTTTGTTCAGTCATATTTGATTTTCACTGTGTTCACAACATGCCAACCTTATGCTAGGACCAAAGTAAATCCTTGAGTAAGAGCATGGAACTAGTGTACATGACGGGAAAAAAGTCTACCTTGAACAGAAAATGTATGGTATCTCTCCATTGTAAAATGCATCCCAATTTTACAATTTAATATCTCTCTTGAGTCCCTGTGCATGATTTCAAATATAGGATCCAGTTAAAGATCACACTAATAATTAGTACTATAAATAAGCATGAATTGAATTGCTCTGTAGGTGAAACATTGGCTTTATAATTAAACTTCACTTTGCAAATTTTACAGCTCAACAAAAATGTAAGCATAATGATTTCAAGTCAAGTTTAGTGGCTGTTGTTCGGTCTTCTGAAGTTGCTCATTCAATTTGTTCCTTTGGGAGAGGAAGCTGGGTAGGGAAATTGTGTTTCTTCAATTTTTAGAGTATGATACAAGATGAGCCCGATGATGTCCTCCTCTGGAGATCCTGGATCTCCTTATGAAGTTTCTGGCTCTCATTCCGGAATCCCTCCTTGAGAAGTCGTTCCTGTTCCTGAAAGGGAAAGTGGAGACTAAACTCATATGGCTTGACACATTTCCCATATTTGCCAAATTAGTTTCCGTTTTGATACTTATATTGATCCCTCAAGAGCTTTTGACACTCTTTCGTAAAATCCTTTCTTCCTTTAACTTCCATTGTATCATTCTTTCCTGAGTCTCTTATACCTGCCAATAAATTTTCTGGTATTTCTTTAGCTTCAGAAATGTTGTTGTCTTACAGTCTATAAAATAGTGTTGACCCAGAATTTTATTCTTGGGTCTTTTCACCCACATGCAACATAGTCTTTCTGAAAAAACCATTGCTTTCCTTGTTTTTTTTTTTTTTTGCTTCATCTCTGATCTATATATTAATAGTATGAACTCTCAAATATATATCTAGGAAGGTATGAAAGATGGGTGATTTCCAGCTGGAAGGTTACTATATAATTCAGAATCAGGGCAGATGTTTAATCAGTGAATTTAGTACAAGTCTCTGTAATTTTGGTGGCAGGGGTAACGAAAATAAATTAAGGAGATCAGGGCCTGCAGTACCTCATAGGGAATTTCTGGGCCAACATCCAGATTCAACATAGATGCAAAGTAGAGTCTGGAGAGCAGGAAGGTACTAGAAACATGGGCACTTAACCAGTGTGCTTAAGTGAGTAGATGATAAAGGAGTCTTTCTGCTCATTTCAGTGCTTTAAGAGACAAAGTCACCAGGTATGGCAGACACAAAATCACTATGGATCCCACTCAGAAAAGACATGCTGGATATGTCACCAGGCAGTCTGATGAAGAAAAGTTACTTATTGCTCATGAAATTATAATTTTCTCATTTGTCAAATGAGAAAATAATAGTTCCTCTGCCATTGGATAAGGATTTGATCTTGGAATGCCTATAAAATACTCCTGGAGTGCTTAGTAATGAATAGCTACTGTTTATTGGTGACAGCATAATGAAAGATTTCATGGGATTTTTATCCTGCAGGTAAACAGCCTTTAGTCATCCGATGGCCAGGGTAAAAGCAGTTAGGGAATGAAAAATGTAGTAGAGTTTCTGGGTGAGAAAGTTTTTTGGGGAGGCATTAGGTTCTTGCCCTTACACTTTTTGATTTGGGACACTGGAAGAGAACATTGAGATGATGCAATGGAATACCTGAAGTTTAAGACCTATTGTCTTCTCCTGCTCTGCCAGCAACTGGGCTCTGTCTTTCTCCATCTTCTCAGTCAATTGTCTCACATGTTCCTGATAGCTCTTCTCCTTCTGTTCCATCATCTGCTCATTCTTCTTTTGCATTTCCTCCAACCTTTTGTTTGCGGCTTCTGCAGATTCAGCCTTTATGCGTTCCACTGAAGAAGAAAAATAAGCAGAGAAATATGAATAATAAATCGCATGTGTTCCTTTTGCCTTTCACTCTTTTTTGTTTTATTCTCATGTCATTGAGAAAACTGGTTGTAATTTTTCCACTGAGTAACAAGAAGAGAGATGACCATATATACCAGTTAAGAAAAAACTATCATAGAACTAGGAATGATAGTCGCTATTCCTTCTCTACAATAATAACTCCAGGTGGCCAATATTGCTAACTAACATTTCTAGGGCTTTCCAGCCATCTGGAGTGCTTTCAGTTGTTCTTACCTTCAATCTCTTTCTCCTTTTCTGTGAGTGACTGATCAGTCTGTAGAAGTGTATCAGCCACATCCTCCTTGGACTCCAAGTATTTTTTCAGCATCTCTTCTGCCTAGTTACACAGGAAGTTAGAATGAGGAAATGAAGACTATGGGTTAAGGCAAAACCCTGCAATATATATGTTAATTCAATGTATTAAATAATTTTACCACCCATGTAACAATTCACTTTGCAATTCAAATAGCATTTCAAATTTAGCAGGTCTAAAAGCCAACTCTGGATCCCCCTTCAAACCTGTTCCTTTCCAATCATCCCAATTTTAATAATTAGGAACTCTATTCATCTAACAAAATCCTTGATACCATCTTTGTCTCATACCTCCTATGTACAATCACCTGCTAACTGTGTTGGCTTTTGCTTCAAAATACAGCTAGAACCCATCACGTGTCACCTGCTCCATCCAAACACCCTAGTCCAAGCAACATCACCTCTAGCCTGGACCATTGCTACAGCATCGGAATTGGTCTCTCTGCATCCACTCTTTCTTCCCTACAGTCTATTCTTCTCAGAGAAGCCAGAGTTTTGCTATATTATTTTAAGAAAGATCACACCACTCTTATACTCAAAACCCTCTATTGACTTTCCAACTCATCAAAATAAATTCCCAACTTCTCTCAGTGGACTTCAACACACTCCCCTATCTGGCCTCTGTGTTCTGACCACTCTTCTGACCCTATCACCTGCCAGCCTCTCCTTGGCTCACTGCCTGCTAGCACATTAGCTTTTTTGCTATTCCCAGAATATAAGCCAATTTATTCTTCTGAACCATTTCTGTTGCTTGAAATTTTCTTCCCCTAGAAGTCCGTTGGCTCACTTCCTAACTGCTTTGAAGATTCTGCTAAAACTTCACTCATCTCAGAGGCCTTTTCTAAGAATACATGCACAAAATTGTTCCACATTTCCTTCCTCTTCTCTAACCGTATTCTGCTTTTTTATTCTTCAGAGCTTTTTTGTCACTTTGACAGGGACTGCTAGAGTCATCCTAAATATCTCTTCTCTTCTGTGTACTTGTAACAGAACTCTGATTTTTTCCTAGCTAGGCGCATGGCAGATCATAATAATATACTGTCTTTTCTACTCAACATCCCTTATAGCTTGGCTGCCCATAAGATTAAATTGTGGCCAAAAACATGCAATCAGAAATGTTATATAGTACTTCTCAGAAACCTCTGAAAAGGGAGTTAACTCACAGCACTTTTACTCTTCTGTTTTTCCCTTTTCCTTTCCACCAACAATGTGGAACCAGAGGCTGAAATTCTAAGAGCCATCTTAGAGCATAAATTGACCTTGAAGATGGAAGCCATGTGCTAAGGGGCTGGAATAGGACAAAGGGAGGGTTCTGGGACCAAGACAAATGTGGAGTCATCATAGCAGCACTGGGCTCCCTCTTCCTGACTTCTTGTGAACAAGAAAGAAAGAAACGTTTATGTTTTTTAAGCCACTGTTTTTTTTTTTCCATTTTAAATAATATATAGCCAAACCTAATTCTAACTGATATAACCTGAGTATATCAGCATTGAAGAATTGTTAAGAGCACAGATTCTGCTACCTGATCTTGCATTCAAGCTGTATTGCTCATTACCTGGGTGACACAGGGTGAGTCTGTACTTCTCTGTGCCTCAATTATTTTTATAAAATTGGGATACTAAAAACACATACTTTGTAGGATTGTCATGAGCATTAAATGAATTAAGCTCTTAGCCCAGTTCCCGGAACACAGTAAGTGCTATCTAAGAATTAACTGCTGTTATTATTATTTGTCAGTAAGGTATAATTTGCTTAGTGTCTGTAAGTACTTTGAAAGAACTTGGTCTTTGTTTTTTTTTTTTTTTTTTTCTTAATTGCTCTATCCCCAGCAAGTTGACAAGTGCCTGGCATGCAATTAGGCCAAAATAAATAATGATTGAATGGATAAATAAATAAATGAGTAAATTCCACAAACATTTTTTGAGGGCTCAATCTGGGCTTCCAGTGAGGAACTTGGTATCTATCTCATGGTAGCCTCTCTTATTGAATGAATCAGCAAATGAATGAACAAAAGGCAGAGGTCCTACATACCAATGACAGTGCCATTTTTTTTTTGTTTCCAGTGGGGTTGAAAGAGGCTCCTTAGCAAGTCCCCAGAAATGGTACCCACTGCGTAGTTTACCTGTATTCCCTTTCCGGGTGCCTGATAGTACTTATTCTTCAGTTCCTGCTTCTTCTGAATAAAGAGATGGTAACCTCCTGGTTTAGAAAATGTCCCCTGCTTCACATCCTCTTCTAGAGGGCCAAAAATATCCTGAAGTAAAGCCATGCAATAATCTGATGATGCTTTCAAATTCTTCTGACAAAAGTCATCTCGCTTTGCTTCCAACTGGGCCTGTGAAGTTACAAAATACACAGATGATACAGTAAAGCCATGAGGATGGTAACCACACATAGACTACTGGGAGGTACTTCTCCCGCAGAGATTGTGGCATCTAAATAGGGCCACATTCCTCAGCTTCCCTAAGACAAGTGCTAGATGCAAAAATGTGTCTGCTTCTCTGTGGTTTTCTGAAGCTGCTTTCCCTGTTTTCCTGCTTCAGAGAATGATTCTCAAAGCACAGACACTGCTTCATATGAAACTTTCAACTTCAAGTCTTTAATTTCTGGGATGGTTCAGAGCACCAACACTGGAGTCAGGCAGGCCTGCACTACCGCGTTGTAGCTTTGTGACATTCAACTTTTGTGAACTGAGGATTCCTTGTCTGTACAACAGGGGGATAAATAGCTATCCTAGACTTCTTGGCAGGATTATATAAGGTGATGTAAAATATTAAGCCCAGGGATTTTCCCAGAAGTGCTCAGTAAGGGGTAAATGATTATTTACTACATTCACTAATGTGATAATATTTTTGTGTATTTTCTCAATCTAGGGCTAATGAAAGTAATGAAGATTGTACCAAAAGTATTTTTCAGTATTTAGAAAGTCTAATAGAATAGCACATTTACGTACATTAACTCAGTCAAGATAATTAGTATCAAGCTTTTTTCTTCCTTAGCTTGAAAGGGTGCTGATCGTCTGCTGACACTGACTACCTAGCTTCACCAGAACCTCTGACTGCAGCAACCTATCATTTACACAACCCTGCCTTGCTAGCCAGGGGAAAGGTTTTCTCTTGTCAAGTGGTCATTCTTCAGGCAACAATACTTCCTTAACTTGGAATGAGGCAGACTTTAAAAACATTCTCTAATAAAAGTCTTCCAACTGGTTTCTCTTTCTTGGTCTTCTGAATGTTTTACCGTTGACTTACATTAAGAAAAAAATCAACAAATTTTTAGGATTATTTTTAAAATAATTGAATCCCCATGAAAGCAATGCATCTTGTCAACTTTAAAAGAAAAAAGTAAAATAATCCTTTATAAATGCAGTTGTGTGATTTACTTATTTGCTTCAAACATGGTAAAGGAGTGGAAATGAACAAAAAAATGGGTTTTTACAAAATATTTTGGCTAGTTATGGTGCCATTTTTTGTAAGTCTAGACTACACATATCCTAATCTTTTAATAATGATTATAAATATGTACACATAGCCAAGTGCTACTATTTTGGGATCTAGAAAGAATTACTCTCCTCAAGAAGGGCCCATATTTTTCTGCCTTTCATGACCAAGAACACCAAATATACCCATAATTCCTTCTGGAACTTTTGGTCCACATCCTTGAAAGAGTTCTTCATGAAGACTTCAACGGCCTCTCTCTCACTGGCCCTGTGCAGGTCCAACAGCTCCTGGAGGGTCTCTGTGGGCAGCTCCACCTTCTGGCCCATCTGCTGGTCATAGTGGGCAATGGCCTTTTTCACTGCGGCCAAGTTCTCTATCTGGGCCAAGGCCAGGACTGCGTTCTCCATGCAGGGCAGATCCCCACTGCTGATGGCACTGACATAGGTCACCACCAGGCTCTTTAGACCTACAGAAAGGAATTTAAAAAATTGTGAGTATCAGTTGGCGGACAGAGTATTTTGTATGCTGTGTCACAAATAATGGTTTCAAGGATTTTCTGAGAAAGAATAGTAATAAAATAATTTCTTAACTGCTATGTACAGAGGAAATTAAAGATACTCTTTTCTCCTGCTTGTTTCACCCAAAAGGAAGATGTTGGAATGCAAAGATTACATTAAGGGTATTTTGAGGCTTAGATATCAGGTCTAGGTCTTTTCTTACCCTTCCTGTCTCTCATCTCTCCCTGCATTCCTTTTTTCTCTTCACTTCTAATTTATTAAAAAAGTCAAGGAAAAAACTTAGCCTTTTTCATTTTTATTTTCTTTGGTGGTGCAGGCCACTAGTCTTGTGTTTGGCTTAGGTAAATTGGTCATCAAGATATTCTCTTATCAGAGCCACAGATGGGGTGACCAACTCATCTGGATTTGCCCAGGGCTTTGCTGGGTATAGCACTGAAAGTCACACATCCCAGAAAAACCCAGTCTCAGGCAAATTGAAGTGGCTGGTCACCCAAAAGGAGATAGTTCCTTGTGATTCAATCCTGGACCTTCTCTTTATATAATTTTAACTACCATGTATGTGGATGACTGGTGAATTTTGTTTCCTGCCTTGATCTTATTTTTAAGTTTTGGATTTGTATATTTAATGTCTGTACAATATCTCTTACTGTATATATCAGAAGAAACTCAATATTAAATAATCCAAATATAAACAACTTCATCCACTCTGAAAAATGATTCCTCCTCCTGATATTAGTATCTCAGCAAATAACACATCCATTCAAGCAGTTTGTTAAGCTTGAAACTCTGGAGACAGGTTTGGCCCTTCCTTCTGTTTATTCCCTCTTTTGCTTTCTTATCTTCTACAATGGGCAGAAGGACAATCTAGGTATGAGGTGGGCAGAGAGAGCAACTCACGAGGGCCGTTGACTGTGATGCCACCTGAGAGAGTTTTGGCACTGGAATGGCTGAGGATGTAGGAATAGAATTCTGCAACTTGTTCTTTGAATTCAGGGTTCAGATCTTCCTCCTTTAGCTGTTCCAGGTGGGCAAGGTACTTCCTGTGAGCAGGCCGGTCGAAAATGAAGCACTTCTTCTCAGGGAAAAACTTTCGGATACACAATCGAGGCTCATTAAAGTTTTTAATTTTTTGATCATTACCTGCAGGAATGAAAATTAGGGGTGGTAAAACTTCAAACTGAGTACTTCAAATATATGATCCTTCAATTCTATCGTTTTCACAAAGCCTATGTAAGCAGAAAATTAATGATAAAGGAGACATTTTTAAAAATTAAATTGGTAGAGAAAGAAAAATCTTTTTCCAAGAAGAGGGAAATAATGCCACTACTAGGGATCTACTCAAGGGAAAAGAAGTCATTATATCAAAAAGACACTTGTACCCAAATGTTTATCACAGTACAATTCACAATTACAAAGATATGGTATCAACCTAGGTGCCCATCAATTGATGAGTGGATAAAGAAAATGCAGTATATGTATCATGGAGTACTACTCAGCCATAAAAAGGAATGAAATAATGTCTTTTGCAGCAACTTGGGTGGAACTGGAGACCATTATCCTAAGTGAAGTATTTTAGGAATAGAAAAACAAATACCACATGTTCTCATAAATGGGAGCTAAATGATGGATATATATGATCATAAAGTGGTGTAATGGACATTGAAAACAAATAAGGAGGGAGAGTAGGAAGAAGAAGAGGAATAAAAAATTACCTATTGGCTACAATGTATGCTATTCTGGTGACAGGTACACTAAAAGCCCTGATTTCAGCATTACACAATTCATCCGTGTAACAAAAAACACTTGTAGCCCCTAAATCCATTGAAATAAAAAAATACTATTTAAAATAGAATTCCATTGATTTAGTCAAGCACTATTTTCATTTCCACTAACAGAACAATCAAGAAAACACAGTTACAAAATTATAACCTTCAGCATCTACACAGGAATGGCCATTCTGATATTGTTTTCTCTGTATTTTTACCCAATCAAACATCAGGCCCAATAACCTGGTTTTAGCTTCAGTGAATGCTCCAAGTACTCATCAGCAGAGATGGGTTGTCCATTTACTTCCAGTTCCAGGGAGAAATCTCTGAGAGTCCACACAAATGCCGGAAAGAAGCTCACAAAGTCAGCTGAGTCCTCTACCTTACTGCTGTTACCAGGTGAGGAGTTTGCCCTGATTCGATCTGTCAGCTCTGTCACATAGCTGAGATGCTGAATTAAGAAAACTGTAGAAAAAATGTCACTTTTTATACTACATTTTATCCCAGTACTTACCTAAACTAATTTGTTTTCTCTTTATTAGCTGATTCATTCATTCACAAACATTCAATCACAGATTTCACTCATTCACAAACATTTATTAAGCACCTACTATGAAACAGGCACTGTCTTAGGCACTAAGATTATTACAGTAAATGAGACAATGCTATCATTATAAACTTACATTTTGATGATGAAGACAGACAATAAACAAGTAAACAAATATAATAAAATCTCCGATATTGACAACAATTGTCTTGAAGGAGAATGAACTCAGCAAAAGTTTAGAGAAAAACTATGTGTAACTGTATGTGGTGCTGCTTTATGTAGTTGTCTAGGTAAATTCTTTCTGAGATTGTAATTGAGAAGTGATCTGAATGAATTGAGGAAGCCAGCCATGCACAAATCCATTGGAGGAACAATCCAGACAGAGGCCACAGAACCTGCAATCCTATAGACAGGAAATTACTGAATGTGTCCAACATATATTGAATATCAAGAAATCCAGAATGGTAGGGCAGAAGTCTTAAAAGAAATAGGGGTCAGAGTCGGGCCCAGTGGCTCATGCCTCTAATCCCAGCACTTTGGGAGGCCAAGAAGGGAGGATTGCTGCAACCCAGGAGTTCAGGGCTGCAGTGAGCTATGATTACTATGATCACACTACTGCACTCCAGCCTGCCAGGTGACAGAGGTGACAGAGCAAGCAAGACACTGTCTCAAAAAAAAAAAGAAAAAAAAATTGAATAAGGGGGTCAGAACATAAACCAAAGTAAGAAGTTTGAAATTTAATCAAAACTTAATGAGAAGCCATTGGTAGGTTTTGAATGGAGAGAGGATATGATTTTTTTTAAAGATCATACTGGCTGGCAATGCATCTGTGTCAAGTGTGTAAGCAAACAAAACAGTTAAGTAGCTGAGGAGATAAACAAGATGAGAGACAGTGGAAACTTAGATTAGAGGAAGGGTGGGAAAGACTCCATTAATTTAGCTGTAATCAATAAGGCCGCATTCAAGAAACTTCAATTAGATATACTTAAAATTGTACCTTATTTTGTAAAAATCTAACTACTATGTACTTAATAATTTCAAAAAATGAAAACTTTGGTAATTTTAAAGTTAACTAACATTTTAATGACTTCGCTGTGTTTGCTTTTTGTTGAAAAGCATTTGAATATTTGGTTGCAGCAGAGAGGTCCGCAGTTTCAGTTGATCCTGTAGATGGGTATCAGTCATTTGTGACCTTAAGGGCATCTTGATTTGGGTTTGGTAAGAGAATGTAGATTCATAGCAATAAATCGTAGAAAAGCAAGAAAGCATTTTTCAGGAATGTTGCCAAAGGCATGGATATTCAACTGCATTTCTCCATATTTCAACTGGATCTTTCTTAGCACTTAAAGATGACTTTAAAATGTCATTTACTAAGAGCTCAATCAATTCTATCCATAGTTCTTTAGGTGCCTTGGTGATATCAGCTAGGTGAGGCTGAAATGCTAATTTGAGTGTGATGTCATGATTCTCAAAGTCAGTGAACCCTTCATTGTACTCTCCAATTAATAGGTCTATAACAGCTGCATATTCTTCAAATGATTCATATATATCATCCTGCTCATCAATGACCTTTGTTAACAGGGAAAATGTTCATCCAAAATTTCCATTCGAAGTATTCTTTTATAAAAAGAGAGAGCTATTTTTGAAACGCTTGGATTTTTGGCCACATATCATACATAGGCTTAGTTTTACCTTGCAAAGAAATATTCAAGTTGTTTTGATTTGACATGATATCACACAGAAATACTGCATTCTTATAGAAATCTTCTTTCAATAATTCACATTGCTGATTTTGTTCTTCATGAAATTTAACTATCTGTTGTCGCAGAGATAAAATTTTGGCTAACACCTGTCCTGGTGATAGCGAATGCACTTTAGAATGATGCAGCAAATCCACACGGAATACCTCATCATTCAACTTTACCATGTTATGAAACTGACTATGCTGTGTTGCATTTGTGCGAATATAGTTAAAAATACTTACAACTTGTTGCAAAGTGTCATTTAAAATAGTAGCTTTAGCACAGAGATTTTGCTGATGCAAGATACCATGAAAAGAAATGAGAGCATCTGGATTTGTTAATACATTTTTAATCTGTACAATAAGTCCTTCATGTTTTCCTGTCATGGAAGGTGCACCATCTGTCCACACGCTCACTAAATTTCCAGTCCAACTTCATGACATTTATTTTGAAAGTTGTTGAAAATATCTATTTCCTGTGTTCTGCTCACAAGAGTGTCCAAAGCCAGTAACTTTTCATAGCAAAGAAAATCTTCCATTATGACCCAAATGAAGTATAAAGGTTGCATTGAATCAGTAGTATCAGTTGGTTCATCCTAAGTGATTAAATAATATATATTTTCCTTTCGAAGTATTGAATAAAGTTGTTTTGTTAAGTTGAAGGCTAATTCATGCTGACAATCAGTTGTTGTTCTCCTTGAAGGAGACAGTTGTTTGTACTTTGAAACATTATTGGGCTGTAAGTATCCAACTTCAACAATGATTCTTTCACAATTTCTACATCATTGAATGGCTTCCCCTTTTTCATGAGTATATAAGCTACTTGATAAGTTACATCAGTGGCATTATTTCCAGGTCCTATTGCTTTTGCTTTTCGTCTTTTAATTTCTGCAATACAACCTTTCATGTCTCTCCCTCTAATTTAAAATATATGTGGTCCTTATGAGTGTTACAATGCTAATAAGCATTGACTTTCTTTAATGTTGATATTGCAGTACCACCAAGCAAGAAAATTGTTTTATCTTTAGCAGATACAAGATAATACTGCAATTCCCAATTCTCATTTTAAAAAAGTTTTCTTTCTTTAGCATTCTCTGTTTAAGCACACAGAATTAAAAAATACTGTGGAGCTGTGCATCTATTCACAAATTCCACTTCCAACAGAAACACAGCACACCAATGTCAAAAACTGATAACAAACTGGTGTACTCGACCCCCATAAACTCTCGCCAACCAGCCTTGTATTCGTGTGTGCGGTAGTGGCGCCAGTCAGGAGGGAGAAGTTAGAACGAAATCATGAGCATAACAGCCATCAGTTTAGCCCTTATGGCTTACTAATGTTCTAGTTGTGCCAGTAAATACAGGAGAATTATTTTGTTGAAACTTATTTTATTCTTTGGTATTTTAAATACATTCATTTTAAAAATAAAATAAAAATATAAAAGATGAACAAAATGTATTAATAAAAATAAAAGGACTTGTTCTATAAAATGTGGATTCAGTCAAAAGTCCTCACTTAAGGACCTACAAGGCCACAGGTTTCCCACCCCTGGGACCTAAGACATGCAAGGTTTGGGAGAAAAAAATAATTACCACATAAGACCACTTGAGAGGTCTGCAGAGGAAATAACATCTGTAGAGTACAGCTAGGTGTCAGAAGGCAACATTTAGAGAAGACGATAAGAATATAGAGATGTGTGGACGTGAGAGCATAAGTTCTAGAGAACGTTGAGGATTTGGACGTGGACAGGAGATTAAGTCAGATCGAGGATGTACAGAATCTTGTGTTGCTGAGTTTCTAAGAATATGTGTGACCAGGAAGGTTTGAACTTCTGGCAGAGACTGAGGTAAAACAAGATGTTGAGCATAACAGGATCCATTAAAGAGGAGACTTATCTACTTCAGTACTTGCTTGGCTCTGTACCTGGTGAAAAAATGAAGCTGTTCATTTTTAGATTGAATGCTGTTCTAGACCACAATAAAAGGATACTGCAGTTGGTCCATGGCCTGCTGGTTGATGGTTCCCATGCTATTGTACACGAAGGTGCTGCTCAGGAGGATGGCCAGGGCAAAGATCCAGGAGTCATTCTGGTTGTCTCCCTGGAAGTCAGGGTAGAAGCCACATGGAAGAGTGACTAAGAGAATGTGCTGTCAATTCAGATAGGTGCAGACTGAACCCCAGCTCTGTCTCTCGTTAGCTGTGGAAACTTAGGTAACTCACTTCCCTACGCAATATTTGTTTCCATCTTTAGAATGAATTTATAATATTCAATGCATGACGTATAATTTAAATAAGCCATCATACATAACTTGTATGTGATAGTGATAAATACACAAGCACTTGATTAGCAGTAGCTATTTTGACCAGCTACTAAAGTTCAAACTGGTATCCTGAACTTAGTGTATGACTCTCTTCCATGTCCATGACACATCACAGTAAGAAACACTTTAGACAGTGATTAAAATAAGCTCCTTTAATAAGAGTTTTCTGTGTCCAAGAATTGTATAGTAGTAATACATTATCCTTAGTGAATAAAGATGTTAGTAGATCTTAAGCTTTGCTTCTCTTTCTAGTAGTGCTGCTGTGGATGTGAATATTCTTACCATCTTTCAGGGTCCCCACTGTGAAAAGTCAGACATGTGTGTAAAATGTCCAGTGAGGTTTAAAGGTGCCTTCAGTAGCCTCACCAAAACATATTACCATAACATGAAAGAAACAACTAAAAATATCAGTAGCCATTATTTTATGGGTTGATCCGTAATTAATCAATTGGATTTACTATCTACTCTCAATGTTTAAACCAAGTAAATTAAAAAATAATACATTAATATGATTAATTAGAGCCATAAATCAAGGAGTAGGAGTGATCGTGCAAAGAAAGCTATTGATCTGACATATGTAGAATTTAAAAGATTTACTTTTTACCTTCTCTACATCTCCCAGGCCCTCAGTGTCCAGCAGAACTAAGGTGTGGTCTGGCTTCTTGGGATGAGGCACACACCACATCCAGATTCCCTTGGTGTGAGACTGCACCGTGGAGCCCAGAGAGAAGCCTGTGAAGGAGAGAGGGGGTAAGACAGGAAGGAGATTAAACAGCAGATACTTCTAGAAATTGGGAAAATAGTGAACATAATCAAAGTTAAAAGAGATAAAAGAAACTACAACCAATATTAATCTTAATTATAATCCTAGACATAGGAAAACTAGGTATCCAACACAGATCGAAACATTCATTTTTCCTTAAATTTCAGTGGAAGCTTGTTGTTGCTACAGCAACATTTTAGTAAATGTTTTATGATCCATTATTATGTAAGCTAATTTTTCATTAACACCATATTTCTTCCAGAAAGGCACATTTATATTCTTAAATGGGAAAATGAAGGTAAAGTGGGAAGAGTGAGTTGACTCTAATCTTCCAAAGTGAATTAAAGAGCCATGATGGATTGAAAGTTAGTTTTCAATATTCATCCCCAACTCTAACTTCCTCTCCTCACACCCCCACAATGGACGCTGACAGTGTGACTGCACAGAGGGGACTCATGTAGCATCTACTGGTGCCACTCACCCTTTTTCTGCCCAGCCAGCTTGTTCATCAGGTAGGATTTGCCTGTGCGGTAGAGGCCCACGATAGCCACCACCACCACAGGTTGGGTAATGGCAGACAGCGTCTTCAAGGCTTCCTCATTAGCCACCAGTTGCCCTTTAGTGTTCTCAATGAGGCACACCGGGCCTGGCATGTGGATCTCTGAGGCCATGTTTATGGTGTTCCCTTATCTGCAAGGCAAAAGATGAAATGTAATTTCTAGTTAGCCAAGCTGAACCTCGCAATATGGACTAAATTTTTGTTTTCTATCCTTGAACTTTGTTTTTTGTACATTTAAAAATGCCTTGTCTCCCTTTAAGACTGTCCTATAGACTGTTCCACTGGATCTCTCTAAGATAGCTTTACTTGGAAAGTTAGACCTACAGAGAAGATTCACAACAGGTATGGAGAGTTCCCGTATGTCATTTCCCCAGCTTCCCCGTGTTAATATCTTACCTAACCAGAGGTAGGTAAGAGAACAATTACTGAAACCAGGATTTTATTATTGATACAATACTACTAACCCACCCACCTTATTTGCATTTCAGCAGTTTTCCCCTATAGTCCTCCTGCTCCACGATCCAATCCAGGGTCCCTCATCGCATGTAGTCATTATCTTTCCTTAGTCTCCTTGCATCTTTGATAGTTCCTTATTCTTTCTTTCTCTTTCATGACCTTGACATTTTTTTTTTTTTTTTGAGACAGAGTCCGGCTGTGTTGCCTGGGCTAGAGTGCCGTGGCGTTAGCCTAGCTCACAGCAACCTCAAACTCCTGGGCTCAAGCAATCCTTCTGCCTCAGCCTCCCGACTAGCTGGGACTACAGGCATGCGCCACCATGCCCAGCTAATTTTTTTCTATATATTTTTAGTTGTCCAGATAATTTCTTTCTATTTTTTAGTAGAGACGGGGTCTCGCTCTTGCTCAGGCTGGTCTCGAACTCTTGAGCTCAAACAATCCGTCTGCCTCGGCCTCCCAGAGTGCTAGGATTACAGGCGTGAGCCACTGCGCCCAGCCTGACCTTGACATTTTAGAAGAGTACCGGCCTGTGATTTTGTAGAATATCCCTCATTTGGAGTTTTTCTGATGTTTTCTCATTATTAGATTGAAGTTACATAATTTTGGAAAGTATGTCACAGAAGTGATGTTCTGCCATTTTAGTGTCTTGGATCAAAGGATTCATTAGGTTGACATGACTTATTTTGATGCTATGATCTTAACTTTGATCACTTGATCACTTTGTTAAGGTACTGTCTGCCAGATTTCTCCACCGTAAAATACTATTTACCACTTTCTCACTAAAAAGTACCACTTGAAGAGACATCTTTGAGACTATGCAAATATAGCCTCATCATACTTTAATATTTTTTTCAGCCACTGTTTTTCCATCCATTGATAATTCTTGCTTGTAAATTATTTACTGTGGTGTTTGACGGAAGGTAATTTTCTATTCTTACTATTCCTTCTACATTTATTAATTAGAGTTCTACTATGAGTGAGAGTTGTTCCTTCTCCTCCATTTATTTTGTTTACTCATCCAATCATTTAGTTCTATCAGTGTAGACTTACAGATATTTATTTTGCTTTGTGGGTAACACTTTTCTATTATTATTTATTTTGTTACTCAACTTGTCTGAGTTTGGTCATTGAGAGTTCCTTCAAGCTGGGTCTCATGTTCTTTGGACATGCTTCCAGTGTATTTTCAGTGCTTCTTTGCTTTCTGACACCAAAATATATTCCAAGTTCATCTCATAGTTTTCCTGATTCAGCCTTAGAATCATCCATTTCTCCCCCAAATTCTGGTTTCTATCATTACATAATAGTACTTAGAAACCAAAATATCACACTAGGTGTGTTCATTACCTCTAGGCCCTCTCAGGGGAAAAGTTAAAAAACATATGTTTATATACTAGCACATGAATACACACATCTACATTTCTTTTTTAGTTACCCATTTCTATATCCAAGCTTAAGTTTCTTCCGATATTTCCAATTCCAATCCAACACAACTGAATTTATTCAAACTTTTTCCCTTTGTTTTTAACCCTTTTCTATGACTATATAATTGTACATAATATATTTACTTACTCAATTCTAGTATAAAGTAGTTTCAAAGTTATTAATTCATAACTGTGAAAAGTAAATTTGTTAACTAGAGTACATAATAAGTTGACAGTTTTTTTGTCTTTAGTCTTATGCATACAGTTAAAGCACTACATTCTAAAATTGCTTGAAAAATAAATAAATAAATAAATAAAATTGCTTAGTTAGTTATTTCCTTCTCCATTCTCTTCTGTGTGGTTAAATTATTCATTTGTGATACGCTTAGATTCAGCTGTTGGTTGATTTTAAGTATGTATTTATTTTTTGTGATTTTGAAATATCATGGTTCTAAAAGTCAGAGCTTTACAAAAATCTGTGTCTGGAGAAATGTCAGTTCTCCTTCACCTTACCATTCTTTCCCCATCCCAGCTGTTTTTCTATTCTTTCTGTCTCATTCCTACTCAACCTCCACAGATACCCAATCTTGTTAGATTCTGTTTTATCTTTCTTGTATTTTCTTTTCACAAATGCATGTGTGTATTTTCTTGTTCACGTTTTCTAACATGAAGATTACAACGTTTAGGTATATGGAAATCCCTCCATATCAGTTCATAAAAAGCTTTCTCAACCCTTTTGACAGGTATCTACTCAATTATGTGGCTATGCCACAGTTTATTCAATCACTCTTTTATGTATGGATATTCAGATCGTTTCCAGTATTTTGCAGTTACAAACAATAGTGTATGGCCATGAGCCGTGGCTCATGCCTGCAATCCAAGCACTCTGGGAGGCCAAGGCGGGAGGATTGCTTGAGCTCAGGAGTTCAAGACCAGCCTGAGCAAGAGCAAGACCCCGTCTCTACTAAAAAAAAAGAAAAAAAAATAGAAAGAAATCAGCTGGACAACTAAAAATATATAGAAAAAATTAGCCAGGCATGTGGCACATGCCTGTAAGTCCCAGCTACTCGGGAGGCTGAGGCAGGAGGATTGCTTGAGCCCAGGAGTTTGAGGTTGCTGCGAGCTAGGCTGATGCCACGGCACTCTAGCCCAGGCAAGAGAGTGAGACTCTGCCTCAAAAAAGAAAAAAACAAAAAACAAACAAACAATGGTGTAATGAATAACTCTACTAATCTTACCCATGTGTATTTTTATATTGTTGCAGGAGTACCTTCAGGATAGATCCCTACAAGTGAGATTGCTGGGTCAAAAGGTGTGAGTGTATCATTTTGTTAGGTGTTATGAAATTCCTACCCAGAAGGGTGTACCAGGTTGTACCACACGAGCTCATCTTGAATCTCATTTTCCAGAAATAGAATTTTTTCTAGGTGTCTTACATCTTCTGACTTACTTCCAAAATTTCCTTTGGAAGCTTTTCATGTTTACATTTAGATCTTTGGACTGAGCAAGGCTTAACTCTCTGAGCTCACGTACAGAGTAATAGGGAGCCTTCACCTGGGAAATGTTATGTCGAACGTATATCTACACTTTGAGAAGTGGATGCCATCCTAACCAGCCTTAGTCCTGGTTTCTTCCAAATCTGTTCACGGGTGGAGTCTCATCAGACCATGGGACTGAGCTTACCCAATAACTTCCTCCTCTCACTATGCCGGAAGCCCCGAGCTACCACAGTCCATCCTGCCTACCCACTCACTGGTTCTTAATATTTGCTGCACATCAGCATTCACACGATTTTCACTCAAGGCTCATATCTCAAACCTGACACTTAAGTCTGTTGATTTTTGACTCAATTATTTTACCAGATTTTGATCTCTCTGTGTTTTAAGATTGAGTCCTTATTCCCTCCATGTATATCGGTTTGCGTATTACTTGTTTCAAGTAATGAAGACACCATCAGGAAACATTCTCTGATAAAGCAGGGCTTGTTCGTTGTTTGAACTCTGCTGCATATGGAGTATTAGACACACAATTGTAAGTATATCCTCTTTAACCAGGCCTTGATAATTTGATAATTTTGTAAAGTTAAAAGAAGTAAAAACCTTTCCTCTGGGAATACCTTAACTTTGTGTTTTAAACTTGAATGTCTCATTCCCTATAACTTAAGTGATCATGATACAAAATTTATAATATCTTTAGGATACAAACAGAGGCAACAGGCCTTGCAGTTTTCATTCTTATCCTAAAATGAAGAGCTGTTTTCCTCAACTATGGACCTGATTGCGTCTGACTTGCTCTGCTGGCAGTTTATCTGAGTATCTGGCTTCCCACCTCTTCAGGGGAAGACAGTAAAAAAGCCATTTATTTTTCCATGATCAGGACTTATTTCCTCTTACAACAATGGTCCACAGGGAGGCACATTGATAGTTTCATTTTGTAGTGTGAGGTATACCACCATAAAATGAGAATAAATCAACAACTGATTCAGAAAAAGTGGCCGCACAAAGATTTTATAAGCTCCTAATTACAATAACTTGTTGCCTCTTTTTGAAGATTCCCAACTTGCCTATCTTCGTTTACCTATAACTGTAAAGTTTGGCCAATAAGAAAGTGATGGAGTTTGAGTTTATTTAGGTAGATACTCGTAAATAAAGGTAATTTAAGATGGTGTCAAGAAAGAACCTTAAAACCTCCCCACCCCTGTGTAGGCTCCACCTCTGCTGCAGCCTAATTCAACACAGCAGGAGCAGAGGCACTTAAGGGACATGCAGCCCCCTGATGAGACGAGGATTTCATCTGGACATGTGTCCCACAGCAGGCTCGGTGCAGCCTACCTGGGAGATGGCCATTTTAGAAAAACCTCACAGACCTTTACAAATCTTTTCCCATCTCTGCCTAGTCTTACCTGGAAGTAGAGATCCTTTAGAGTTGTCAAGAATGCAGCTTTGATGAGAAGGGTATAAGTCTTTATCCTCTTCCCTCTTCTTCTGAGCTTGGCTGCAGCCCTCTTTTATCTGTTGCTGGAGTTTTGGACTGTAACCAGGCTTTGAAAATGTGATGATTTTACACTTCCAATGCCCTGAGGATTTCCAGAGTTTCTTCCCAGACCTGAGGATTAGACCAATTAAAAAGAAAAGTAACCTCTGCAAAGAAATAGAGTAATATGAAACTGAAAGTAGTAATTTCAGGAAGTAACTCATTTATAATAAAAGGACTCTTTGAGAGCTGTTCTGGTGGGAGGGTTTGACACAATTTCTCAATCAGAACATTGCAATTTTATTATTGGGAGAAATCTTAGAGACTGCTTGCCCTATTAACTAAAGCCTTGAGGCTTTCCAGAGTTTCTTCAGAGACCTGAGCATTAGACCAATTTTTAAAAAGAAAAGTAACCTCTGCAAAGAAATAGAGTAATATGAAACTGAAAGTAGTAATTTCAGGAAGTAACTCATTTACAGTAAAAGGACTCTCTGAGAGCTGTTCTGGTGGGAGGGTTTGACACAATTTCTCAATCAGAACATTCCAATTTTATTATTGGGAGAAATCTTAGAGACTGCTTGCCCTATTAACTGAAAAGTTTCATTGGATCATTTAAAATAATGTTTTTTAAAAAAAATTTTTATTTTTTTTATTTCAGCATATTATGGGGGTACCAGTTTGAGAAGCCTGGGGATGAGAAAGTCTCATGTAATAATTTGTAGGTCCAATGACCTTGAATATTACGCTCATTAGCAGTGGATCTTGTAACTCACGTTTAGTGATGAGGACTGGAAGTGTCCTAAGGGAATGTCCACTTTCGAATTCTTAGCATCTGAGCCACGTCCTGACACTTAACATGTAATAAATAAATGAATGATAATCAGGATAGTACCCATTTATCATACTCTTGATACAGACCCACTGTCAACTTCTTTACATAGATTATCGTATTGTATTCTTATCACAAATACTTTTACCACAACGTTACAGAGAGATTTAATGACTTGTTAAAATTACAGAGCTACTAAGTAAGATCTGAACCCAAGAAGTCTTACTCCAAAACCCAGGCTATCAACTACTTCACCAACATACCTCTGTGTTTGCTAAGTGAACAATAACAATAACAATAACAATGTTTCTTGTTTGCCGGTTGCTTTATAGGCCAGAAACATATATCATTTAAACACTATAATACTGCTTCACAATGTGTGGTGTGTATTATTCCCTTTGTCCAAGGAAGGAAAAGAGTCAGAAAGAGGTTAAGTAATATGTCAGCCTAAAGCCAGCGACTTACACTAAGCAGGCTAGGCATTGAGTGAGATTCAAGCTCGAAATTCCATTTCATTAATATCACATTATTTCTCTACTCTTAACTGCCTCTAAAAGAAAGAAAGAGAGGGGAAAAAAACAGTGAGAATAAGATGCTGTGTGTGGAGGGGGTGTATGTGTGTGTGTATTAATGTTGGTGAAACTGAAAGTGCAAGTAGGGCAGGATTATTTCAAAATAGAACTAATGCTGGGAAATCAGCTGCTTTTTTTCTTCTGAACAATAAAATCCGTTGTTTATATCATGCACACACAAAATACTTCAGGGCTATTTAGTCTTTGTGAATTAGGTATAATTTAAAGGTAAATAAAGATGAAAACTTGTTTATAAGTTAAAAAGAGGGCATTTTTCCAACTTCTTTTGATAGTTTTTTTTTTTTTTTTTTAAGACAAGTGGGTCTGAGGCTTTTCTCTAACATTTTGAATATAAATAAAAACATTGCCAGCTTTGCAACTCAGAGAAGTCTTCAAGATTCTGGGCTCCATGTCTTTTGAAATGTAAACAGCCATAAAGACAGGTTCCCTGACACCATGGGAGCATAACCCAGATGCCCATCTTGGATGTAACCACTTCTTCTCAGGGAGATAAGGAAAGGTTTATTATTCTTTCAGATGAGGACAATTAACCATGCAAAGAGCCACCTCAATTCCCAAGGAAGCATAGGATGAACCACATGAAGAAAGGTACAACAAAGTTCAGGATGTAATAGCAACTTGAGTGGCAAGTCTTCTTATGGGGCCACAGAATGGCATCGATCTTACATGTTACATACTGGCAAAAATAGTGCAATATAAAGAGTCTTACCTGTTTTGGTGTATAAATAGTGTGAACTTTCATCCTGATTTTCTAGTCATTTGCAGAATACCTATGAACATGTACTTAGTTCTGCCTACTCAATAATAAAAGAATATTCCTTCTTTTCTAAATTTTTATGGGGAGGATATTTTTTGGTAAAATTTTAAATTCACTAACAATATGAAGAAATTAATTACTACCTACCTTCCAAATACCTTTCCAGAAGAATTAAAGTTATTATCTTTAGATAAATTTGTATGTATTGTTTGAGAATAAGTTGTGGTATATATAAAATAATTCTATTTATAAAAATTATAAATCAGTAATAAAAGTAAAAGCCTAAGAGGATAGCTACTAAAATTAACAGTATTTCTGGCTCATTGATGAGACTGGAAGTTATTTTTTCTTTTTATACTTTCTTCAGTACTGTGAATTTTTTAATGACTTAATTATTTTATTATAATAAAAAACACACAGACACCAAAAAAGTAATTTTTCTTTTGAAAAATGAAATCATTTTTTCAAGAATCATTTTCTGTTAGGCATTCAGTTTTCCAATCCATTGCTCGCTTATTTGTTGGACAGATATTTCATAAGCATAGACCATACACAAAGTCTGTCATATATTAGTGTTCAATTGTGTACAGTTGAGTTATTTATATTAAGGTAGTGTAGACAGGAAAAGCTATTTAGAATGATGGATTGTCCCATTGGTTTGGACAGAAATAAGGAAATCTGATATAGTTGCAGGAGTCAATAAAGATGCTTTATCCTGTTGAGCAAATAAGGAGACAAAGCTTTATGACAATAGAAGGTGTAGCAGAGGGAATGGCCTGAAAAAAAAAACGCTTTAAAACTCCCCCCACTCTTTTTGAGAACTGAAACCTGCATTCCTGCCTCAGACAGGTGGTCAGGAGGGGCCTGGGGAATCAGCCAACCCAGGCCCTGGCACTAGCCTCCCAGGCGGGCGGCTGGTGGAGGTCACAGGCTTTGTCTTGGCAGAGATGGGACGATTAGAATAGTTAACCACAATATCCTAGAACAGAAGGACCCTCCCTTTAAAGGCTCTGTATTTCTGCTTATGTTCAGGAAATTTGGATTTTGAGACAAGAAGGTCTCTGATTTTCCTCCTTTGCCAGCAAAGTAATAAACTTCTCTTTCCTTCTCCTCAAACCACTTTTTCTTGTTCTTCTGATGAGGTCTTGAGGACAAGTGCTGAGCTTTTGGTAACAGATTTAGCTTCCCTGGCTGGGGCCCAACAGGCATCCTGGTGAAATGGCTTCCTGGAACAAGGGAGAAGCCCTGGGCCAAGACATGGGTCTTCACTGGGAGGGGTGGCTTCTTTTGGGGGTGAGATAATACGGGATCCCAGTAGCTGCTGGAGAGTGTTTTAGCTCTGGGGAAACTTGTGTCTCTGTCTCCCTGAAGTTGACACAGCCCCCACAACCTGAATTGAGTGGAGGGGAAGGAAACAGATTTGGGAAGTGTCACAATAGCCACGGCCATTTGGAAGTAAAGTCCCCTGGGACACCGAGATTCTGTTTCCATCCATTTGGCCGGGGGGCAGTTTCAGAACTTCCTGTTGGTGAGAGGCACTGTTTGCAGAGGGAAGTCTAGCAGTTAGTGGACCTTGGTGACCTGGTTTGGATTTGGAGCTCTTTTGCAGTTCTCTGGGCACAGGGTATGGGGCTAGGCTACCATTTGGGGAAGGTTTCCCAGGAAATCGGGGGACTAGATCACCCATTTGGGAAGGGTTTTTGAACCTTCCAGTTGGGGTGGAGTTTATCCCCTTTGCATTCCCATTTGTGAACCCTCTAACCCTATGGCAGGGCATTTGGGGCACTGTTGAGGTGCAGTTTAGGGTGGCATTTGTCCCCTCTGGATTCCCATTTGTTTGATAGGCTGGCATTTTGTGTTGAGAATTCTCCGTATCGTCTGTGTTTGTTTAAACAGTTTTGTTACAACGTATACAAGCTCCACCTAAAAGTCCCTTGGGAAAATTTTTGACTGGATGGTTAACTTATAGCTGCAAACCTGTGTCTAAGGAAAATGGTTTTATCATAATCCAGTGTATGCGCTAGAGTGTGAGGAAAAGTGGCTGTTAAATGAAACTTTAAATTGTACTGTGTTGTAACTGAAATTATTTTGTCAAAGGTCAGGTAAATGGGATGAGATCCCACATGGGTTGGCTTATTGGGTAGAAAATGTCTGATTTATTGGAGGCTGGACATTTCATATTTAATGGCCTAATGTGCTCTTAAAGGCCTGGGATAAAGTTAATGGTTTAGTTAAACAGATGAATTTCCCAGTGGAAGGGGGACTGGCAGGCAGGTGCTGCCACATGGTAAGGAGCTGGGAGATAAAAACCTGTTGTCCCACCCCCAGGCGTGCATGAGACAGGGCGAGGAGGTGTGCCAGCTGTGTCAGGGGAGCAGTCACAGTGCCTGTGGCTGATCTGCAGGAAGTTGCTGCAGGCTCCAGCTTGCACTGATCTGCCCCCTGTCAGAAGCCTGCAGCTGGTTCAGAGATCTGCCCTGAATGGGGAGGCTGGAGTCCAGCCTGGGGCAACTAACGCCTGCCACAGCCATCTTGACACCGGGAGGACAATGGAGTGGGTCTTAGAGAAAAACGCCTGCCACCCCACCTCCCTTCCCCAGGCATGCATCGCAACAGGGCAGGTAGGCACCTGGGCCAGAGGCCGGCAGCCAGCGGGGAAACTGCGCCTTCCCCTGTCCCCGCAGTTCCTCGCCTGGGGCAACTGTGTATTATGCTCAGCAGAATTTCCATCTGCCTTTGGTGTTTGGTCTGGAACAGGAGCAGGGTACTTAAGAAAATTTCTTCTTATTTGCATGCCGGTGCTGAGCGGGCCATCTGTGGCCTATGTGATGAGGGCGGGCTCAGGGGATCAGGGAGCCCCCATGCATTTTGTGCTCCCCCCTGCCCTCCCCACCCCCGTGTGGGTGGTAAATGTGTGATCTTGGGAGAGCTGCAGCCCATTGTTGTGTGGGAGAATCCTCATGGATTCGTT